GGGAAAGAACAGTCAAGGAGGAGAAAGAAATATCGTGTTGATATACTACGCTGTGAAAGCTTGGCATCTCTTGCACCTGCAACTTTAGAACGGTTGTTTCTTCGTGATTATGATATTGTTGTGTCTATTGTTCCTCTCCCACATTCATCAATTCTTCCTGGACCAACATTTCCTGTTCATTTTGGTCCTCCCTCTCATTCATCTAGGACACCTTGGATGAAGTTGGTGTTGTACACAACTGTGGCCTGTGGACCTCTGTCGGTTGTTCTGATGAAAGGGCAATGTTTACGTTTGCTTCCTGCACCATTGGCTGGTTGCGAGAAAGCGCTGCTATGGTCTTGGGATGGTTCAACAGTAGGAGGCTTGGGGGGAAAGTTTAAAGGGAATTTAGTTAAGGGAAATATACTATTACACTGTTTAAATTCACTTCTTAAACACTCGGCTGTTCTTGTGCAGCCCCTCAGTAAGTATGACCTTGATGAATCTGGACGAGTCGTAACTCTGGATATCCCATTGCCCCTAAAGAATTGTGATGGGTCAACTGGTAATATAGAGAAGGAAATGGAATTGAGCGAAGAGGAAAGTAAAAAGCTGAATTCTTTGCTAGCTGTTTTGGCAAACAAGATGGAGTTATGGACAGTTGGTTATATTCGGCTGTTAAAACTTTTTAAAGAAAGAGAATCAGACAAATTTTCACCTGATGATGAGAAGCATGAATGGGTCCCATTGAGTGTGGAATTTGGAGTTCCACTTTTTAGTCCCAAGTTATGCAACAATATATGTAAAAGGGTTGTTTCGTCCCAATTACTTCAAACAGATTCTCTACACGACCATCATGAGGCAATGCAAGGATTACGGAAAAGGTTACGTGATGTTTGTGCTGAGTATCAGGCAACGGGTCCTGCAGCAAAACTTCTTTACCAGAAAGAGAAATCAAAGGAGTCATCTCGACATCTCATGAATTATGCTAGTGGAAGGTGGAATCCTCTTGTAGATCCTTCATCTCCCATTTCAGGAGCTTTGAGTGAACATCAGAGATTGAAACTTGCCAATCGACATCGTTGCCGAACTGAAGTCTTGAGCTTTGATGGTAGCATTCTTCGGTATGCCTTCATGATTAATTTTATTTGTTGATATTCTATCTTTGCTACTATACAATTTCAGAACCCTCAACCAAATATCAATGACATTCAGATAATATTCTCTGATTCTTTCCTCTGATGGTGTTCAGGTCATATGCGTTAACTCCTGTCTATGAGGCTGCCACGAGGCCAATAGAAGAAGCCCCCTCATTGAGCACAGCAAAAGCTGAGCAAGAAGAAGCTGAGAGCAGAGAAGTTGTCCTTCCTGGTGTTAATCTTCTTTTTGATGGCTCTGAGTTGCACCCTTTCGATATTGGTGCTTGCCTACAGGCTCGTCAACCTGTCTCGCTAATAGCGGAGGCAGCGGCTTCCTCTGCAGCAGCTGCCGCTGCTATTAAATAGCGCTTTGTGCTACTTTCTTGCTTGGATAAGTGAAGAGAATAACTGAAAATTGTCATCCATGTCTTCATGCTGCTTTTATCATGATTGAGGTTAGTAGGTGGAGTAGCTCCAAACTCAAAAGTAGCTTCAAGGTAAAATAATATATACCATATATATGTTTTTTTGTTCTTTATTTCCATCTCATGCGCTACTGAACTCTTATATATTGCACTTTGTGTTTTGTTCCGGACACGCTCAGAAGAAATTTCCTTTTCAGTACTCACTAGGACAGTTGCTAGTGCTTCATTTTGAGATTCATTTCGGTGTATCTTTTCACGTGTTCTTGGTTCTTGTTTTATTACTTTTGGCTACTTTAGACATGTGAAAAAGCCCGTTGCTCGTGTTAATGCAGGTCGTTGTTTTTGAAACAAACCTTTACCAGATCACGGTTACTCCAGGTTTGACTTGCACTGAAAAGAGAAAGTAGGTTCATTCCGATCTATCTGAAATCTGGCGTGGTGAAGCATTAATTTGTTGTTGCCTCACCACTAAACATAGTTTTGTTTCATATTCTCTCCCCCTCCCTCTTTTGTGTTTTCTTCTTTGTCCATTGGTTGGGGAGGGGTTCTTGAACAATTATTCATGTTTTCTTGTGGTAGTGTCTGTATATGAATTCAATTTCCATTCAAAGAAGCAAAAAGAGAAGAAAAATAGATAAAGAGCAGTGGTTTTTTTTTTAATTATTATTTTTTGGATTTTTATCACTAGTGCCCTTAAACTTTAGAATCATTCTTAGTTTGTCTCCTGAACTTTAAAAGCTCTCACTTTACCCCGTAAACTTGAATTGTTCACACTTAACTCCTATTATAATTTTTGTTAAAATCAGACAGAAATATGGGGGTCCAAATGACTGCATTACTCTCTTTTTTTCTGTCTGATTTTAACAAAAATTACAAGGGGTTAAGTGAGAATAATTTAAAGTTTAGGAGTAATGTGGGAATTTTCAAAGTTCAAGAGGACAAATTGAGAACGACCTCAAAGTTCAGGGGGCACGAGTAATAATCTTTATTTTTTTTAACCTTCTATAAACTTTTTGATTTTCCAGTTTACCAAAATTTCCTTAATTTCCTTATCGGTATTGTAAGCAGAACTTTGGCATAAAGATGTGATTTTTAAAAGAATATAATTCTTTCTTTGTAGTTCTTTTTTTTTTTTTGTTGGTAGTGGTAGTAGTAGATAAAAGATTTATAGGTCGTTTGCATGAAATGATCCAAATTTTTTCCATAAGAAAGTGATCAAATTTCATAGACAAAAAACAGGAATGTGGTCCTTAACAAGAAAGAAAAAAAAAAAGCGACACGTTTCTGGTAGATAATAGCAACTAATTATGGAACGACATACCGTTTTTGAAATTTTGTGGACGACGAACGGGAATGTGGTTGTCCAAATATAAAAAAAGACACGTCCTTTTTGGCCGATGACAAGAAGCTGGTTATGAGAACGACATTTAAAAACGACAAAAAATTTGGAGAAAACCATGACTGAAAGCGCAGTTAAGTTTTTGACAAAATGTGTTTTTCACTATATTATAAAAAAGTTGAAGTTTGGTCTCCTGTACACTTTTATAAAAATATGTCCCTATTTAATTTTGTTTTTCACGGCATTTTTTACCACTATTATTCTACATATATAAAATAGCCATCATGACTCTACCATTCTTTTTAGTCGTGTACAACGGGTTGTTTTGGCTCTTTGTTTTTTCTTTTTTTTTTTGAAATGATTTTGGTTCTTTGTTTCTTTTAACTTTTACTTTGTTTTTTCTTTTTTTTTTTGAAATGATTTTGGTTCTTTGTTTCTTTCAACTTTTTTTTTTCTCTTTTTTTATTATTTTTTCTTTTAAAGCACTTGAAATAAAAGAAATAATATGTGTTAGTAAATAACGTAGATTATGGACCTTTATATGTTACCTTCTTTTCATATTTTATGGTAATTATAATGTTAAATCTTATCTTATTCAAACAGTAAATGTTAAAAATATAAAAGAGTAGGTGAAAATTGTATTGTTCATTTTTCGTAGTCATTTATGCATCATTTTTTTTGAAGGGACACACCATTTTGATGCTTTTTTTTTCCCTCTATCTTTTTCTTTGCTTCTTTTATCTTTTCTTTTAACTCTTTTTTTTTTTCTTATGTTTTCCATAACCTTGTTGGTGCTTTATTTTTTCTAACGGTTTTATTTCTTTCTTTTGTTTTCCATACGTGTTAAATCCTAAATTTTAATCCTAATTCTAAGTATACAAAAGAGTAGTGGTTTGGTTTTTCTTCATCCTGTAGTAGTTCAAAACAATAAATTTTAGGCGCTTTATTTTTTTCCCCTTTCATTTTAAAGTTTTAAATCCTTTAACTTTTTATTTTGTTATTTCATAATTTTGTGGTTCAAAATGGTAAACTTTTAGATGTTTTACTTTTTTTTTCTTTCATTTTTAAGTTTCAACTCCTTTATTTATTTATTATTTATTTTATTTTCTTAAATTTAGAATGTTTTATGTATTTCTATGATTAAACATAATTTTTTTACTTAAACTACTATCGACATATATTTCTTTAAAAAAAAAAAAATATGTGTAAGATTCAAACTCTACATTTTATGGTGGTGCTAGATCTACAAACTTTGTTAGGACAAAGTATTCCACAAACCAAAAAAAAAAAAAACGCAACAAACTAACAAACACCAGGGACCTTTTGCTGCGAAACACACAAATTTAGTAATATTTATTATATGGATTCTGCTATAATACAAATTCATAATTTTAATTTTATAAGGACGTTTTTCTCTAAAAAAAAATTAAAATTTCTAAAATCATAATTAAGAATTCTAATTTTAATCCATGTATCAGGGGAGCCCATCCAAACATGTCATTCATCCATGATTCGTAACGCTACTTAGGGTTTATTTAGTTAGAGGATTTAAATTATGTGATTCAAATTATTTTTAATTTACGTGTATTTTTTATAAAAAAAAATACTATAATAAATCACGAATTATAATTTAAATCAGAGAACGAATCTCTCTACCAAACACCCCACATCGTCGTTTGGAGGGTAACGTAGATAGATCGTAGATTGTAGATATTTTCACAGAAGTCCAGAAGAAGTCATCAGTAAAGGAAAACCACGCGTCGAACCACGGTTAGAACCTGAGATTCCGTCATGTCCGTTCACGTGGCAGACATGAAAAAGCAGCCCCTGCTTCCATCCCGCTTTCGGAACCGGAAATCTCCTCGTAATTAGTAATTACACCACCTCCTCTCTCTCTCTCTCTCACACACACACACACACGCACATCTCATAATTCCATTAATTACACGCGAATTTCCTCTCTTTCTTCTCATCGCTCGTTGCTTAATTCAAAGCAACGACGGCGACGATCGGAGATGCTCCGAGCTCCGCATTTCCTCGAACCCAGCGCCGCTAAGTTCCCTTTCCACGCGCCGCCTTTCTCAACACACACTGACGCTGCTGCTACTGGTGGCGCTTCTTCATGTACCGCCTCTTATCGTTGCCTTGCTGTCGGGTACGCTCTTCAGAATTCTCTCTGTTAATCTTCGATTTCGATTTCAAGAAATTTTCTGAGGTGGTGCTTATGAATTTGTCAGATTGAAGTTGAGTAAACGAGCATTGGCTTGTAATCGTCAAGATCGGTTCAGAAAGGCATGTTTATACTTTGTGTGAAGCGATAAATTTCACTTTTTGTTTTTCAAGTTTTGCTCTGTTATTTAAAGATATGCCTGGAATTTGATAGTCAGGGGATCGTGTGAAGCATAGGATTATGGCTAATGCTTATGGCCTCTGCGCTCAGGAAGGTGCACTTCAGGTGCTAAGGAAAAAAAAACTCTATTTGAGAGTGTTTTTCTATTTTTCCTTTTCTGCTGATTTTATTTTTATTTTTGACATTTTTTAAGAAAAAAATAAAAATATTTTTAAAATAATATTTGACGTAATAAAAATAAAAAATAAAAATAAAAATAAATTTTTAATTTAATAAAAATTAAGATTTTTAATAGTTTTTTATTTTTTATTTTTATTTTTGTTAAAGAGAGAAAGAAAAATATTAATAAATTTTTTTACATTAAAAATAATTTTTTAATAAACTTTTAAATGTATTTTTAAAAATAATTTTTGAGATTGAAAACGTTTTTATTTTTATTTTTATATAAAAAATAAAATTATTTTATAATGAGTTTTAAAGGCGCTTATTATTTTGCAAAAGATCATTCTTTCCGTACTCTTGTTGTACAACGTGAATGAGGGAAATGCACGGTAATATGTGATCAATGTTTGCAATTCTAGGACGAAGCTGTGTCGGAGAGCAGCCCATCATGGAGAACTTTTCCGGGTCAGGATTTTCCACTGGGTGTATCAGAAGTTGATAGCGGCATTAATTTTGCTATCTTTTCGCGACACGCAACTGCGGTCACTCTTTGCTTATCACTCCCTGAGAGGTGACACACTGATTATTTATGATGCTTATGTTTCTGTTTTAGCGGAAGAACTAGCCGTGATGTAGTATTCATGTATAGATATCTATTATTCTTCTGTTAATTTACCATCTTTGCTGAACTTGGAGTACAAGCTTTAGGCTTTAACTTTTTCTTTTTGGTTATTTTATTTCTGTACTTTATGCCTTAGCTGGTATCTTACTAAAGCACCTGGCAGGACGGATGGTGGAATGGTGGAGCTTGCTTTGGATCCTAAGGTGAATAAAACAGGAGACGTCTGGCACATATGTATAAAGGTAGCCTTTCTTCAACTCGTTCGAAACATTTACTTATTCTCACTTTGACTTCGAGTCTTGCTCATCATTATAGATCTTTTCTCCTGACTCTTAAGCTGGTTGCAAGACTTGTTTGATAAAAGATGGATATGTAAATGTTAGTAGCAAAATACGAAATAGCAGTGTTGAAGCAGCTCTGTAGATTTAGTTTGGATTGTTCTGATGTAATGCATTTGTTTTAGTTTCTGTTTTCTTTGTGGTGACAAAGGCTGGCTTGTACTCTATTTTGGACTTCTGGAATTTTTTTTTCTCCTCGTTTAGATATCACAATATTGATACTATTTCTCTACAGGATTTACCTCGGAGTAACGTTCACTATGGCTATCGCATTGATGGCCCACAAGGTCGGCATCAAGGTCATTGTTTTGACAGTAGCATTGTGCTTATAGATCCTTATGCAAAGCTAGTTGACGGTCGTAGATACTTTGGGGATGCCAGCGAAAAGCTCTCTAAATTTCTTGGAACTTATGATTTTGACAACTTACCTTTTGATTGGGGAGAGAATTACAAGTTTCCAAATATACCTGAGGTATCAAATCGCGCTGGTGGCTATTGTACGTATATATATATATATTTTATGAAGTGGTCCAATAAAATTGGAAATTTGACCATGACACTTGTCTCCCATCTCATCTTTCTTTCATCACTTGTATCTTACCAATTAAATTTACATCTCTGAACATCTAAATAACCTTTCCCTGAACAAATGGCTGACATTAAGTAACTGTAATTTGCTCATCATTATAGATCTTTTCTCTGTGCAGTGTGCATCATTGTCATTTAATTGACAGTTTGCTATTACATCTAGTTTCTAAGTTTGATGTTTTGGACGATTTCTTTTATGTAATTGTATATTTACTGTTGCTTTTGCAGAAAGATCTTGTTATCTATGAAATGAATGTCCGTGCATTTACAGCCGATGAATCCAGTGAGTTGGATCCAGATATACGTGGCAGCTACCTTGGTGTGATTGAGAAGGTAACGGGCATCATCTCTACAGATCTTTGTTCTCCGAGAAGTGCTAGATTTCAGTTTCTCTGACCTCGTCTTGTTTCTTCCAACTTTTTAAGATTCCACATCTTTTAGAGCTTGGGGTCAATGCGGTAGAGTTGCTACCTATTTTTGAATTTGATGAGCTGGAGTTTCAAAGGCGTCCAAACCCTAGAGATCACATGGTAATTAAGATTTTTTCTTTCCCTTTTTTTCTTTAAGTATTAAACAAATCCCATTTTCAACTTAATGTGCATACTTCTCCATTTTTATGTTCATCTATGTATACTTCAGAGTTTTTCTCTCATATTTTTTATCTAGCAATTTAAGCTTCAATATCTTTTTTGTCAACATTTTTTTTTTTTGGTATTTAGTAACGGTAGGATCAAATCATGTTGTAGTGTGTGTTTACACAAAGACAGAAATTGGTTGCTCACAGACAACTTAGTTTATGTTGATACGCTGTCAATGTTGTTCAAATTCCAGTAAGTGATAAGAGGATAAGATAACTAACAAATTTTGATACATGACTTGTTCATTTGAAACATTGTCACGATGATATTAACAGGCAGCAATGCCCATACGTTATAATATTCTTGCTGGAGTTTTGCATCTTTAATATGTTTCTTGCTTACAATATTCAACTTTTTATTCATTTAGTTCTCGCTCACCTTACTATCTCTCATCATTTTCTCTTGTCATGATTGATAAACCAATATTTTGCCTTGGATTTCTTGTTTTTAAAGATCAATACGTGGGGGTACTCAACAGTAAACTTCTTTGCTCCTATGAGTCGTTATTCTAGTTCTGGTGGAGGTCCCCTTAAAGCTTCCCAAGAATTTAAAGAAATGGTTAAAGCCTTTCATGGTGCTGGAATAGAGGTTATTTCTTTCATGTCTTTTTTTCTTTTTTTTTTTTTTTTTTTGGCTATTGAGAGTCTCAAATGCTTGCTTTTGTGACGTGGTGAATTCTTTTTTTCTTTCAACAGGTCATTTTGGATGTTGTCTACAACCATACCAATGAGGGTGATGATGTCTATCCTTATACAACCTCATTTCGTGGCATCGATAATAAGGTGGTGTCTTATTCCTGGGCTTTAACTTCTTGTAGACAACCTTCCTCCTTTTTTTGAAGAAGTTAAACCATCGCGGTTCTCAATCTCTGGACTCAATGTACTCTCATTTTACTTGGATCATGGTTCTACCTTAAGTTCTTAATTTATATTATGCAAACACCATAGACAAAAATAATCGCAGAACTACTAAGAGCCACCTTACAACCCGAAGATAAGGATTTTTTTTGTTTCTAATTTAGTAGGCACATACGCTGGTGTGCTAATATTACAGTGCAACTTCTAACTTCCATCTCGCATACCTTCTGAACATCTTTTTGTGGGTCAATGAATGTAGCTCCTCTTAAATTCAAATTTGGTGGAGTAGCTAGCTGATTAGCTCTTTATATACCATATATGGTACTGTATCGTAGATGTGCATGTGTATCTACTTGTGTGCTTGCATGTGTATTTGCGTAGTTTTCATGTATTCACAATGAATTTTACATTTATAGGTTTATTACATGCTCCAAGAGAACAATGGCCAGTTTCTGAACTTCTCTGGCTGTGGTAATTCAAATCTTTCCCGATTCTCATACTTTCCTGTTTCTTTCCCGTCATTTTGCGTCATGTACAGATTTATCTCAGATTCAATTAACTTTAAAAAGCCTTATTCTTAAACAAGCTTGTCTTCAGTCAGGACTAGGTATATATTAATGGATTTTTTTTTCCTATTTATAGCGGACATAATGATACCCTTTTTTAATAGCTGGCATTTTGCTATAGTTCTACTTTGCCATCAACTTTAGAATGGCAGTTAAGAGTTTGATAGATAGAATGTGAATGTGACAAACTATATCAATATCTTCTAGCTTGAAAAATGAAACTCAGCTTTAGATGGTGGAGTTTTTCATTCTGTTCTGTTGTTGGTATAGAGGCTAAGATGGTAACATTCTCTCACCTCATAGGCCAAGGCATTTCCTTCTACGTGGTAAACCATGAGAAAGGGGGCAAAAATGATACACATTTCTTAAAGCAGGAGTGCTGACATTCGTAGAGTAATTTACGGGGTTTATTTACTTACTATCTCTTGCTCTAATTTTAGACTTTATAATTGCCAGAAGAACTAGGTAACTTTGCTTTCTATTTGATAGGTTCCCAAAATAGAATCAAATCTTGCATGGTTATTGTGTCAAAAGTAATATAGTTATTATGTGCTTCTTTGAGAAGGCTTCTGATTGTTTTAAACATTTGTGATTCTATGCATTATCTGTTGGTGTCCAGGTAACACACTAAACTGTAATCATCCCGTGGTAATGGAGCTTATACTGGACAGCTTAAGACACTGGTATCGATCCCAATTTATGCGGAGCATTTTAATTGATGTGTATTTATATGAATGGAGTTGATAGATGTGCTAAATGTACTGTGATGCTACTTGCAATGAATAACAACATTTCTTCAAGATTTATGAGGAATTTTATTTAGGGTTTTTTACTTGAAAATGAGTGTTTCAGGGAATAATTAATTTCTTTCATTGATAATGTATTTATAGGATTTACACAGCACATACAAATCCTTCAAATCAGGAAATTAATCACTGATTTAAGGAATATAGCTAATTCTAGGAAGAGAATAACTTCTAACAACTACTTTCCTAAAATACAAAGATTGACAATTAATTAGCTAATTTACAGCTTTACAAGGATTGTTTCCAAAACAGTTTCGATTTTCCAACACTCCCCCTCAAGCTGGTCTAAAGATATCTTCCATAGTCAGCTTGCCAACTAACAAATCAAATTGTTTTTTGTATAGCCCTTTGGTGAAGACATCTGCCACTTGTTCCTCAGTAGGAATATAGGTCATACAAACCAAACCGTTATCTATCTTCTCCTTAATGAAATGCTTATCCACTTCTACATGTTTCGTGCGGTCATGGAGAATTGGATTATGGGCAATTGAAATTGTAGCATTGTTGTCACAGTACAACTTCATAGGAGATGATCCTGACGCCTTTAATTCCTGTAGCAATCTTCTTATCCACATAATCTCACAGACGCCATGAGCCACAGCTCTAAACTCAGCCTCCGCACTACTTCTAGCGACCACGTTCTGTTTTTTGCTTCGCCATGTAACCAAGTTGCCACCTAAAAATGAGCAGTACCCCGAGGTAGATCTTCGATCCACTATACTTCTAGCCCAGTCTGCATCAGTGTAGGCTTCAATTTGTAGATGTCCCCGTGACTTAAACAGAAGGCCTTTACCTGGTGTCCCCTTTAGATACTTTAGAATCCTGTAAACAGCTTCAAAATGCTCCGAACCGGGTGAATGCATAAACTGACTAACCATGCTTACTGAGAACGCTATGTCAGGGCGTGTATGAGATAGGTAAATCAGTCTCCCAGCAAGTCTATGATAACGCTCTTTGTCCTTCACACTCTCGGCTTTTGCAGGCTGTAGCTTTACATTAGGTTCTATTGGTGTTTCAGCAGGCTTGCAACCTAACATACCCATTTCATTAAGTAGATCAAGCACATACTTACGCTGATTTATAAAATTTGTCCTTCACACTCTCGGCTTTTGCAGGCTGTAGCTTTACATTAGGTTCTATTGGTGTTTCAGCAGGCTTGCAACCTAACATACCCGTTTCATTAAGTAGATTTGGACCTAGCAAACTCCATTCCAAGAAAGTATTTTAATGCCCCCCAAGTCCTTGATCTCAAATTCTTCGGCGAGCTTTCCTCTTTACTTCTCTAGTTCACTACAATCATTCCCAGTTAGCCCTATATCATCCACATACACAATTAAGATGGCCACTTTCCCTTCCTTTGAATGTTTGTAGAACATAATGTGATCAGCTTGACTTTGAGTGTATCCATAACGCTTTATCACCTTGCCAAAGCGCTCAAACCAAGCTCTAGGGGACTGCTTGAGTCCGTATAAGGACTTCTTCAGTTTTCACACTTTCCCAACTCCAAAACTCTCTTTGAAACCTGGTGGCGGACTCATGAACACTTCCTCCTCTAGGTCTCCATTAAAGAAGGCATTTTTAACGTCCAATTGATGTAACGGCCAATTGGAATTTATTGCAAGGGACAACAAAACTCTAATTGAGTTTAGTTTAGCTACTGGGACAAAAGTATCTTGGTAGTCTATCCCATAGGTTTGAGTGAAACCTTTTGCCACAAGCCTAACTTTATATCTCTCGACGCTTCCATCAGCTTTACTCTTTATTGTAAAAAGCCATTTGCATCCAACAATTTTTTTTCCTCTTGGTAATTCTACAATCTCCCAAGTACCATTTTTTCTCAAGGCATTCATTTCCTCAAGCACTGCCAATTGCCAACCCGGTTCATCTAGTGCTTCCTGAATGTTTCTAGGCACCACAAGCTTTGAAATATTTGTAGTGAATCCTCTATAGTTGTCGGAAAGGTTATTGTAGGAAATATATTTGGCAATATGATGTTTAGTGCACGTGCGGGTTCCTTTTCTAAGGGCAATGGGAAGATCACGGTCAAGGACTTGTGTAGGAATTACTGGACCTAATTCTAAACCAGGTTCGGGTGCAGATATTTTAAAATTAGGATTAGAGTGTGATGGTAAAGAATGTATAAGAGTAGGAATATAAGGAGAATTACCTGAGACACTTGGAAGGCCATCACCCAGGGCTTCTGTTTGACCATGTGTTAGGATGATTAATTGGTCTTTACTTCTTCCAGGGATATTCTTCCTTGCATAAACCACAGGCTCAAGTTTGCTTCGATTTTTTTCCATTCGTAGTATTTCTTTTTCTGACAGACTAATGATATCAGATTCGGATTCAGCGGGTTTAGTTTCCATATTTTCTTGTTCCAGTGATTTAAGAGGGATATCAACAATCGGATTAGGTAAGGGTTCAGCAATTTCCCAAAAATTTGGTTCAACTAAATTCTCCCCCTGAAGTAAATTTTTGGTAAAATATGGGGTATTTTCCATAAAAGAAACATCCATAGTTGTGTGAAACCGTTTTGTAGTGGGATTAAAAAACTTGTAACCCTTTTTATTATGAGTATATCCTACAAAAATGCATTTTTTCTGCTCTTGGATCTAACTTAGACCGTGACCTTTTTGGAAGGTGCACATATGCAGTGTAACCAAATATTTTCAATGGTAATTCAGAATTAATTCGAGATTCGAGAAATACCTTTTTTAAACACTCCAGCGGGGTAGTGTACTGTAAAACTTTTGTGGGCATCCTGTTGATTAGATATGATGCAGTTAGTATGGCATCCTCCCATAAGTATTTTGGAATATTCATGTAAAACATCATGGCCCAGGCTACTTCTAACAGGTGCTTATTTTTGCGTTCAGCTATTTCGTTTTGTTCAGGAGTATCTGAACATGATGATTGATGTAAAATACCTTTTTCTTTTAAAAAGGTTTCCAAAACTTTATTAAAATATTCCATTCCATTATCAGATCTCAAAATGTTGATTTTTGTCTGAAATTGATTTTCAATCATTGTGTAAAAATCTTTAAAAATTCTTACAACCTCAGATTTTTCCCGCATTAAATATACCCAACAAAGACGAGTATGGTCGTCTATAAAGGTTACAAACCATTTTTTTCCTGAAACAATGGTTACCTTTGAGGGTCCCCAAACATCGTTGTGAAAAAGATAAAATGGTTTTAAAGCTTGATAAGCTTTTTGGATATAAGGTTTACGCTGGCTCTTTGCCAATAAACAGCTTTCACATTGAAATGATAAAGGATCAACCTTTTTAAATAACACTGGAAACAAATGTTTTAAATAAGAAAAACTAGGATGGCCCAATCTGCAATGCTAAACCATTATTTGATCACGAACTAAAAGAGAACTAATACTACTAAGTCATTGAGCAATTTTATTACTGGGTAAATTATCCTCGAAATAGTAGAGACCATTGATCATCCTGGCACTGCCAATTGTCTTCCCCGAGCTCTGGTCCTAAAAAATACAATGGGATTCATAGAAGGTGACACAACAATTAGAATCTCTAGATAATTTGCTGACAGATAAGAGATTACAAGTAAGTTTAGGAACATGGAGAATAGATTTAAGATCTATTCCCTCAGAAATTTTTGTCAGACCTTTTCCTGCAATTGGTGAGAAATTACCATCAGCTATCCTAACCTTTCTATTTCCAGGACACGGTGAATATGATTCAAACATATTTGAAGAGTTGGCCATATGGTCGGATGCTCCAGAATCGATTATCCATGGAGCAGATAATTTGAAATGGCAAGCTAGAGCATATAATTCATTACTTGTGTGTACCACAGAAGCACTAGGAGTACCAGATGTCGAGTTGGATTTCAACAGTGTAAGAAGATGCTCCATCTGCTCCTTAGTGAAAGGGTTGGTTTTGGCCTCATTAGCAACATGGAGGGCTCGTCCTGGTTTGTCACCTGTTTTACCTTTCCAATTCGCAGGTTTCTCATGGATTCTCCAACAATTTTCCGGGTATGGCGAGGCCTGTTGCAAAAATCACACCAAACACGTGGTTTTTCATCAGGTTTGCGCTGATATGTGGTGGCTTTGTTATAGCCTCCACCCATGGTTACCAAGGTTGAACCTTCAACAGCAATTCCAGGTCCCTTCTTGCCCAACATCACATTCCTCCGACTCTCCTCTCTTCTAACTTCCGAAAAAACTTCACCAATTGAAGGCATGGGTTATCTTCCAATGATTTTCCCCCTCACCTCATCAAACTCGACATTGAGGCCAGCCACGAATTTGAAGATGCGATTATCCTCCACAGTCTTCTTATGATGGCGTCCATCCTCGGTAGATTTCCACTCAGGTATTGAAGAGGTCAAGATCTTGCCAAATTCGCTTCAAAGAATTGAAGTATTTTGTGACGTTGTCCTCCCCTTGCCGCATTTCACCGAGTTTGAGAGTCAATTCAAAGATCTGGGATTGATTCCCTAAATCAGAATACATCTGATTTACATTCTCCCAAAGCTCTTGTGCCGTTGGATAGCACATGTAATTAGAGCTAATGTCTTCTTCCATAGAGTTCACGAGCCATGTCATCACCATGGAATTCTCAGCGTCCCATGTAGCATAGTTCGGATCATCCACTGCAGGAGCCTTCTTTTCACCCATCAAGTAGCCCATTTTTCCACGTCCTCTGATGTACATCCAAACTGATTGAGACCATCTCAGAAAGTTGTCACCATTCAATCGAATTGTGGTGATTTGAACATAATGGGATTCTGAAGTGGTTGTACTGATTTTTGTGGAATCAGTGGTGATGGGATTGTTATAAGATGATTGAGGAATAGTAGTGGATTCATTTGAAGTGTCTGACATGGTGATAGAAAGAGCAGAGGATCGAATGAGAGGAAGGAGGAGAAAGATTTCAGCAAGCAATTTGCCCGCTCTGATACCAACTTGAAAATGAGTGTTTTAGGGAATAATTAATTTCTTTCATTGATCATGTATTTATAAGATTTACACAGCGTATACAAATCCTTCAAATCAGACTGATACCAACTTGAAAATGAGTGTTTCAGGGAATAATTAATTTCTTTCATTGATCATGTATTTAGGATTTACACCACATATACAAATCCTTCAAATCAGGAAAGTAATCACTGATTTAAGGAATATAGCTAATTCTAGGAAGAGAATAACTTCTAACAGGTACTTCCTTAAAATACAAAGATTGACAACAAATTAGCTAATTTACAGCTTTACAAGGATTGACCAACATTTTTAGTGGGCTTTTTGGTTCGACCTCTTTTCAAGTAGTCAACCCAAGCAACTGGGATTGACCAATATTCTGTTTGAAATAACCATGTGTGCCTACCTGAGTATAGGACCCAACCCGACCGGCTTTTTGCTGTTATAACTTGAAGGGTATCGTTTTGAGTTTATTAGATGGAAATACAACTATCCAGATTATATAAGGGAGGAAATTAGTTAATGTCATAAAGCCTACTTCACGGTACTTTCGAATGAACATTTAGTGTTCTTTCATTGCATAAATCAATATTGAACTTCATCATCTTTTGTAATGCTATTATGTAGGGTAGTCGAATATCATGTGGATGGCTTTCGATTTGACCTTGCTAGTGTTCTTTGTCGGGGAACAGATGGTGCTCCACTTAATGCACCCCCACTTATTAAGGTAAGTTACATGTTTGTATGTATGATAATAGGAACAAAGGAATGACATTAACTGTTAGGCATCCGGTCCACACACGCACGCCTGCTTGTAGATGTACTTTTTATTGGTTTCAAATTAATACGTGGATGGGGAACCTTTATATTTTAACTTCCTTTTTTCAGTTAAGATTGCAAGTGCCTTTAGGGTAGTGATAATTTGTCTTTTATTGAATCAGGCTATTGCTAAAGATGCCATCCTATCAAGATGTAAAATTATTGCAGAACCTTGGGATTGCGGAGGCCTTTATCTTGTTGGAAGTTTTCCAAACTGGGACAGGTAATCATTTCGCTTGTTGCATTTATGAACCTTATGTAGAATTTTGCAATATCCGCAGACTAAGTTGATAAATATTTGTTTTATTTTCAGAAGAAATGACCAGTCACTGTTGATGAAGGAATTGCACTTCCTTATAATCTTTATTGCTATTATTTTTTATTCTTCTTCTTTCTTTCTTTTTTTTTTCTTTTTTTTTTTTTTTTGCTTTCTTGCCATTGACCTCTCCCCTTGAAATGTACTGCGTATGATATCTTGTCTCAGGAGCTTTTATTTTCTTTCCAATTAAGGTTATTATAACTACAAACAGTGCAAATGCATGAAATGCTGTTATCTCAGTTTACTGTTAAGGCGCTAAGAAAAGTTAGACCCCTTGAGTGCAATGCTCAACCTTTGGTGTGCCAATGTTTCTTAATTATTTCTTTCAACAGTCCGATTATTTTTTTGCATCTGCAATTTGATGACAGAAATCATTTAAATCCTGTCATCTCAAGTGTCTTAAATCCTATATCATTCACTAAGTAGGTTACCGTTCTTCCGGTAGACGTATTACCTCCCTAACTAAATTCCTGTAATGCAGGTGGGCTGAGTGGAATGGGAAATTCCGTGATGATGTGAGAAAATTTATAAAGGTAATTTATGGCTTGGATCTTTCTTTTATCATGACGTCTAAAACTGCTTTTATCTTTGGTCCTTTATTCTTGAAAAGGTTGAAAGTTTCTTTTTATTGTTAAATTTCAACACCATTTGGCTGGATCTATTCTTATTCTATGGAAGGACATTTTGTTTATTGCCAGTTAGTAGTAGTACTCTTCATGTTTCATAATCTTCCATCTGAACTTTTGTGATATAGGGTGACTGCGGTATGAAGGGAAGTTTTGCAACTCGCGTTGCTGGATCTGCTGATCTTTATAAAGTAAGCATTTATATCATTGTTGTTTTGTCCTGAGACCCACGAGTATATATTAATTGCAATACACTTTTGTTATAAGCTGTATCTAAATGCATTTTTATCTAAAGGTGCTCAAATTATTTGTTATTCTTCAGGTAAATAAGCGCAAACCTTACCACAGTGTTAATTTTGTGATTGCTCATGATGGTTTCATGCTTTATGATCTTGTCTCGTATAACTTCAAGGTACCTGAAAGTTTTACGTCGATTTGTTTGCTTTTTATCCTTCTCCGTGAAGTTTGTCCTTTAATTATTTGGTTTTGTAGCACAATGATGCCAATGGAGAAGGTGGTAATGATGGATGCAATGACAATTTCAGCTGGAATTGTGGTTTTGAAGGTATGTGCAGATTTCATGCCTGCTTCTAAAAAATTATATTTACAATTTCAATTTTAATACCCGCATCACTGAATACGCAAGTGATTTATTTGCTCATCTATTCTTTTGAACAGGAGAAACCAATGATAGTTCCATTAAAGCCCTACGTTCACGGCAAATGAAAAATTTCCATCTGGCCTTGATGATATCTCAGGTAAATGGTGTTGATATTTGACTTTCAAGGCCTGATAAGAGAATGAAAATTTGATTTTCAACACACATGAAAGTCAAATTGACTTATCCTTGGATTTCTTAATTATTGCCAACTTAACCTTTCTCTTTTAGTAAAAAGATAAACTATATTTCACTTTCACTTAATCATAGCTCACTAGGCGTAAATAAACTGAAGTGACTGGGCTCCGAACCTCATCCTTGACAAAAAGAGATTTAAGCTGCTTCATAGATTTGTGTATTTTTTAATTATTATTTTTATTTTTTTACGTGATAGCATCATGGTTATTACGTTCCATGATACTGGGGTGGGGTTCCTTGATATTAAGGTGTAAAGGCGGACCAATCACTGCTTATTCAATCTGTAACATGTTGCTAGTTAACTTTCATCACTGATGTTATTTCTGAGTGGATATAACTAGGGAACACCAATGATGCTTATGGGGGATGAATATGCACATACTCGCTATGGAAATAACAATAGTTATGGTCATGATACCGCTCTTAACCATTTCCAGTGGGGACTGGTATGTTTTTGTTTCCCACCTGTCTTTTCTGACAATTTTGATCCAGATAGTTTCTTAATCTGATAATCTTTTTTGTAAGGCAGTTAGAAGCACGGCGGAGTAATCACTTCAGGTTCTTCCAGAAGGTGATAAAATTTCGACGAACACGTCGTGTATTCAGTCGCGAGACTTTTCTCAGCAAAGTAATTTCCTTTTGGCTTTGCTCTTTATCTTATGATTGCGTCGCAAATTAATGTTAGTTTTAACTATTTATTTCTTCATAGACTCATGGAACACCTCATTTATGCAGAATGATGTGACATGGCATGAAGATAACTGGAACAACCATGACAGCAACTTTCTGGCATTTACGTAAGCATTATGTCCATTGCTCGTGTTAGACTTGCTACTTTTTCTCTAGCACTGTTCGAGTGTGTGATCATACATTTTGTAGTCAACTGAAATGGGAAATTATTAAGGCCTAGTTCATCTCACCCATTCAAGTTTTTAATTTCAATTTTACTATAGTTAAAAATTCTCACAAAAAGTCACATTTAATTTTTTTATTATAATTAAAATTTTTTACATAAAGTCACATTTTAACTTAAATTGAAGACTCGAATACCAAGAAAATAAGTTGTTTTTCATATATAAATAAAAATCTGACTCGCAAGATTTTGGGAATTGTATGCATTTGATGGATTTGAAACACTCAATTGTGAGTATCTGTTTCACAGGCTCCACGACAGTAGTGGAGAGGACATTTATTTGGCATTCAACGCTCATGCCTTTTTTGTCAAGGTCTCTGTACCTCCGCCGCCAGCGAAGAGGAGATGGTTTCGCGTGGTTAGTTTTTTTTACCACCAGTTAATTCATTCTTTTTTTTTTCACACTGTAGATAAAACGAGTCTTCAAGGTTGTTTGATTTCATATTGGCTAAAATGGGTACGCACTGATTCCCGTATAGGACATGACGCTAGTTATGTTTTAATCTGCAACTTAGATGACGTGTTTTAATCTGATTTCCATATTTAATTTCATTCTCTCTTTTTCTCAAAAAAAAAAAAAAAAAAAATATTATTGTAGTTTTCCTATGAAATCCATGGACAGTTTGTTCATCCAGTTCAAATATTATTGTTATTCTCAAACTAACTGCACAGACAAAAAAATGTCGGTACAATTGCAGGTGGACACTAATCTCGAGTCCCCAGATGACTTTGTCATTGAAGGAGTACCTGGCACTGGGAAAACCTATAACGTGGCTCCCTACTCGTCGATTCTCCTAGAAGCCAAAACATGACACAGAGTTAAATTCAGAAGCTGCGTGCTGATGAACACCAAGTGATTTGCATGTTCATATATGTCGTATACGGTAGTTGAATTCGATTCCCATGCGTTTAGATATATGAAATTTTCACGTTATAACTTTTTGAAGTAATTCAGATATTTATGTCTCAGGAACCAGTTAAAGTATCAATTTCAAGTGGGTTCTGGCTATGAAATTCTGATAGATGGATCAAAGAGAGTATTTATTATGCGGTCTCATTTATTATTATGCACGGCATCAACCTTGTTATATTATTGACACTTTTATTTTCTGAGCAAAAGGCTCTCATCAATAATAAATATATCGGCAAGCAATAAATTTCTGAGCTTATTGTATTGGTCATAAATGTTCTCAAGGTTTGTTATGCTATCGCATTATTAATGAGCATTACAGTGTACAGATCTGCTAGTCCTTTTCAGCCATTTATCATAAACTCTCTTTACCGATTAGCAGCTTTGGGGACACGACGTACTTGAAAAAGAGAGCTGATTGTTTGTGGATGAGGACCACCGACTGAACTTACAACAAGAAACACGTTTCATTTTGTTATGTTCCGCCTTTGTACTCGAGAATATTTGAGACCAGACGGCAATACTTTGTTACTCTGCAGATAATGCGAGTGGCACTTGGAATAACCTTGCTGATGTTGTCGTTTGGTGATTTACGGCTCTTAAAAATGTTTGTGTGATATTTAAGAACTCTACAGATGAAAAGGTGAACGAGAGAAAGAGTTCATAATGTTACGTTCTGGAGTTTAATTAATTATCCTAATTCAGCTGCTTTAATTTTTGTTATAAAAAGGGTGACGTCGTATATGAAGAAACAGAGAAAGTTGAAAGGTGTAATTTTCTTATAACTTCTTGATCATAGTAAAAAAAATTCCAAAATGGCAGAAACAGGACGTAACATTAATTGAGGCGAACATTTATAAATTTCGTGTGTCAATTTTGTTTGGTTTCATTTATTGTGATTTTGATTGTTCTCGGTAATTAGAATTAGATCGTGTAATTCTTATCACATAATTCCTCTTGAAAATGCATCTTGATCTCTCTTCCATCTTTCTATAGAAGAATTTGACGCTCTTGGGTCTGTCGAGAAAAGAGAAAATAAGAGGCGAAAAAGAAAAACTTGGGGAGATTATTGAGTGCAATGGTGAGATAATTGCCATACAGAGTTGGTGCCTTTTTGCTATTCATTAAACCTCACAAGGCAAGACCAAATGTATTTGATTGCGGATGTGGAAAGGTTTGCATACGAAGGGAATGTTTTGAGTATCCACGATAACGTGGCTTTCGGCAATGACAGGTGTAATCACAGTCGAAAACCTCAAAATGGCAGGCAAATTGGACCCCACGTCGTGACAGCCTAAAAATACGAAATTACCAATATAATTTGCTGGCAGACTCAAAGGTGCGCTCTGGTCTGTAATCTTAAACAGACGCCTTTTCTACTTCCCACCCGCGTGGTGTATGATAGTGTTCGCCATATCATATTACAGCATGAGTTTGGTTTTCAAACGTTAGTATCACTTTTCACACATTTACCATTTAAGACGTAAATTTTATTAGTTTATTTTTATTTAAATAATATATTATGTTAATAGAATTTATAAATTAAATAAAAAATGTATAAAATGATAGAGAGAATAATAAAAATTGTAATGTTAGGTTTTTCGGTTCTTACTTTTCACGCGCACAAAATTGTTCCAAAAAGTGACTTTTTCTTGTTTGTATGGTTTTATGTCCATTTTCTCGAGCTAATTGAAATAATATAATAAGAAAAATGTTTCATAAACAAAAACTTCAGTTTTGATATGATATGCCACATGTTTCCCTTTTTATTTTATTTTGAAATGGAAACTCGTTTTATTTTCTTGGGCTTGTTGCTTTTGAGATGGCGGGGGGGCACATCTGCACTTGCATTAAAGTATAAAATATGAGGTTTTCTAGGACTAATCCAATGATTAAAGACCAAAGCATCGATTCTTTAACGTATGTGAGATATCACAGCATTTTATATTTTGGTATCTTGTCTTTACGTTTGCCATGATGTAATCAGTCGTCTAGTGTCGGAATATCTAATGGTGCTCCATGGTTTAAAGAAATAAAAATATGTATTTTTTTTTTTTTCATTTACCAGGGTAGAGCGCATGTTCTGATGAATGTGTCATAGTTAAATTACAAATTAGTAATAAGAAAAAGTTCCCTTAGTAATTTTTGTTTATTTATATTGCTGGGAGTTATGGAATTTAGAGTCTAAAAAAAGGCCTTTAACATTTATCACATATTCCACACACAAAAAAGAAAAAAAAAATCATATCTCCAGTGATTAATAAGATCGATCGAAAGTATCATCCCATTTCTGTTGGGGCAAGACGGTGAATGATTAAAATTGATGGTTGCCAATCTTCTTCAAAACTTTTTTTTTCACAAAAATGCATCATTTACATGAAAAAAGAGAGTTATAATATACATATCCCTAAAAATAATATTAAAGACACCGATTCAAATTTTAATTTTTGTATACCAACTGATATAGTATCTGAATTATTATTTTTTATTAAAAAATATAATATCTTATTATTAATTAATATAACAATATTTTAAATACTTATTAATAAAAAATGACAACTTACATACTACATTAATTAATATATAAAAATTAAAATTTGAGTTGAATTCCCTGACATTATTCATATTCTAAAAGTCACATTTTCAATGCGGTGTAATTTTACATTCACGTTCAATAAAGTTTTAAATTCAAATCCATCTACTCTCGATATAAAAAGTGAAAGAAACTAATATAAAAAAATTTTAAAAATAATTTCCTTTAATTTTGTTATTATAATAACAAAAATTTATATAAAATTAAATTTTAACTCAAATTAAAAATTCAATTCAGTCAATTACACGGGACATTTGCATCAGGAAATTAAAATAAAATTGGAAAGGGTCCTTAAAAAATAATAAAATTGGAAAGGCCACGGGATGATCATTGACCGTTGGATCAAAAGACAAACTCAGTCAAACCATCCTATCTGACGTTCCGTATCGGTCTTTTGAAATTGTTTTTTGAGAACAGACGTAAAAGCCAAGAAAACAGCTATGCTTAGGCACAACGATGAGCAGACGCTGTTGATGAGTTTTCAGCAAAACATTCGTAGAATTTTTTAACAAAATTTTCTGTGCGGGGCATCAAAGAGGCTCCATTGCGAGTAGCATGAACCCTCCTGTATAATATAGCTTCCTCTTCACACCGCAAACCGACTTATATCTGCGTATATATATACCACCTGTGGTTGTCTCTCTGTTTCGGTATCTCTTCGTTTTCTCATACTCTAACTCTACTCTCTCTCTCTCTCTCTCTCTCTAAAGCTGATCAGTCGATAACCTGTTTCGGTATCTCTTCGTTTTCTCATACTCTAACTCTACTCTCTCTCTTCTCTCTCTCTCTCTCTAAAGCTGATCAGTCGATAAAGCAATGGCTCGCTCCACATTCGTGATCTTCGCTATCTTTGCACTGATCTCTGCCTCGGCTTTGGCTCAGGCTCCGTCATCGGCGCCGACTGGCGCTCCGACCAAGTCTCCGCCGGCTTCCACTCCACGTCCTTCGGCCGCTCCTCCGACCAAGACCTCGGCTCCGACCCCTTCTCCCAAAGTGTCGCCGCCAGCTTCCGCACCGGTCTTTCCTCCATCTATTCCTTCCATCTCTCCGCCGAGCCCTACTCCGGCTCTCTCTCCTCCGGCTCCTTCCACGGCCGGTCCATCCTCAGAGATTCCTCCCTCTTCGATTGGCAACGTTCCGGCAGGATCTCCGACGAGGACGCCGTCTAGCGGATACAGAATCGTCGCCGCCGCCGGATCTGTAGTCGCTGCCGCTTTCGCGACCTCGCTCTTGATGTAGATCTGATTGGGAAGTTTCACCGTTCCCCCACCGGAGATGCAGATTCTAGGTTTTTCTATTTCAGTTAGGGTTTAGTAGTCATTGGTTCTAGATTTTTAATATTTTGGATTAGATTAGAGGTGATGTGATGGTAGATGATTGACCATTGTTGGTATCGATGGACGACGACGACGACGATTTGAGTTTATTCGGTTCTTTTGTTCTTATTTGCAGTAGACTTTATTTTTTTTAATTATTATTACCTCAGATTATGAATTCTTTTTTGTTATGGTTAATGTATGAATTCTTTTTTGTTATGATTTATGTATTTCTTTCTAGTTTCCGTTTCTCAATTGCTTCTGTTTGCTTTTAATTCTCGATAAACATCTCACTATATTTGCACTTCATTTTCGATTTTTTTTAATACATCAAGAGTAATATTGTATTCTTTATAGATCGGCGAAGTTGCCTCCAGTTTCTGTGTATGCGAGTGAGGCAGAGAAAGCGAAAAGTAGTATAACGGTGGAGTCGTTTTTGTCGCTTTGTTTGCTGCTAAACTTAATGGGTTTACAGGTGGACTGGGGTTTTGTTTTTATGCGACATTGTGTTGTGCTCTAAGTTCAAAAAAGTTAATAATGATTTGTTGGTTCTTCTTTTATGAGATTAGTTTGGTTTTGTGTTTGTTGGGTAATGGAAGAGTAAGTGAGAGTTGGCTTTAAACAATTGGTGTCACGTGGTCACAGCTGTTAACGGATCTCCCACGTTACAAATGTATATCGATCCACGCCCATGTGCTCTGCACTAGACACGCTAACAGTAAGACAAATAGTTAGGGTTTAGGGGTAGTCTGTTTCTGGGCCTTTTTTCTTTTTTAGCTTTTTCAGTGAAAGACCAATGGCATTGTGACAACGGTTTTGCGGAATTCTAGGGGAGGGTCAAAGGTTTTGGTTGTTTGGGGACGGATCCAAAGCCAGACCTTTTGAACGAGTTTTGTTTTGTTTTTTTTTGTTTTTTTGTTTTTTTTAAGGAAAAGCTTTTGAATAACATTGCTTTGTTGGGTTTTGTTGATGAATTGTTAAAAAACACTGGTTTCTTTGGCTTTGGATTCTTTCTAATATGTGTATACTGAAATTGCTTCTTTTCTTCGCTTTTGTGAATTAATAGTCGCTAGATTAGTGTTTACTGGGTTTGGAATGATTAGCTGGGCCCATTTGGGTTGTTTGAAAGTGATCCGTCAAGTGTCAAGTGAAACACTAAAAGCTTGAGCTTGTTGTGTAATGTTGGCCAGAGTTTTGGCAAATTGGGTTTGCCATGGTTAACATAGTTATGGTAATCATGTAGGCGTGGCATGCGCGAGAGCTAATTAGCATGAATGGTGTTGGTACTGGATAGCACTTAAGAGTATAGTATTTAAAAAAAAAATTGGCTGTGTAGCAAGTATTGATAATAGAATGGATAATTATTGAAGAAAGAAAATTATAATTATTAGTTTGAATTATTTTTAATTATTAGTTTGAGTTTGATTAGAAGATAACTCTTTTAGTTTAAATATTTTGAATTAGATTATAAATTTGATATATATTTCATTTCATCATTGAGAGGGGCGACGTTATCTCACACTCTTCTAAATTCTTTGATAATATGGTAAAATGATTCAGGTTTTTATTTAGTAAGCTTTCCGCCCCTGCCCGCCTCTTCATATCTACGAAATAGAGTATTAAATTGGTACTTAATAATATCGGTAAAAGAAACGTCGTCATTTATGTTATTTACTAAGTTATTTTGCATAAATACTCTCTCAACTTTACGAGTTTGACAATTTAAAGGTCCGTTTAGTTTGTTGATTTGAATTTTTAATTCGAGTTGAGATGTGACTTTATGTGAGAGCTTTTTACTGTAGTAAAAAAAATTAGATGTGACTGTTTCTGAAAGCTTTTTACTGTAACAAAACTCGAACCAAATAATTATGAATAATTTTTATATTAATGGATTCATAGAATATTGTATTAAATCTGTTACGAAGATAAAATCTTAAATTGTATATTTGCGTGAAATCCTTTTTATTTTTTATTCAACCGCTACAAGATCAACAAGTCCGTGAGCTTGGGCTTCTGTTGCTGACATAAAAACATCTCTTTCCATGTCTTCAGAACGGTGAAATAAACGGGTTCTTAGTTTTATAACTTTTTTTTTTTTTGACAATTTAGCCTTTAAACTTTGAAATTTGTTGTAATATTGGTTAAATTGAAAACGAATTTAAAAATTTAGTTTATATCTTCTACGTGAGTATTTAATAAGGATAAAATATCTTTTTATATCGAATTGATTCTCATATACACATCACGAGTGAACTTTTTTTAAAATTGAGATTTAACTATTTTAGGAGAAAAATTAAGGGTCCTCTAATTTTAAAATGTTTTTAATTCATGACGTGTATAAAGAGTTTAATTCAATGTAAAAGACTAGAATTATTCTCATTAAATACTCATATGAAAATATACCGTCTAAATTTTTAATTTTATTTTTATTTTAACCAACAATGCAATAAAAAAAAATTAAGTGATTAATTTATCAAACTCATGAAGTTGAGGGGTAACATGTAAAAAAGCCTGTTTACCACCTCTCAATTCTAATATATTCTTAAATGCAATCCAAGCTTCCGAATGACTCGATGATCACAGAAAACAGGAGTCTAAACCGGATATGTGGATCTAAATTGGAACTGCCCATTTTTGTAAAACTTTTTATGGAACTCACTTCACAAACATTACGTGACATTTTCTACTACAAATAACTTTTCTAATCGGCTTTTGGAGGTTGGTGGCTCTGGTGGGTTTGGTGGAATGGGTCCCTCCGCGGTTTTATTTATTTATTTATATTTTTACGTTTTAAAACACACGAACACAGACACACAACACACAAAATACATGATCTGAAAATCTCAATCATGTTCATAATTACATATCCTTTATTATGCCTTCTGATACCTACTACGTAGTACTCGATCATCAGATATCTGAACATAACTAAAAAGAAAAACGGAATTTATGAAAATAATTAGAAAGCAGACCTACTCATATCTATAGGTAAAAATAAACCCGGAAATACAAATAGAATCAACAACAACAACAAACGCACTGCCTCTATCCTGGCAAGGATAACGGCCCAACTCTCCGCCACCCAATTCATGAATTCATGAGACAACCAACACATAAAAGCCAAACCAACCAACCAACGCAGCCAAAACACCAGACATCATCGTCAGAGCAGTCCTTGAAGATGCATTATTTTCCGGAACGTGGGACGACGGTGTCCTAGTTGCTGGTGTGGCTGTCGAACCGGTACCGGTCGAACCACCGGAAGGCGACGCAGAACCCGATCCGGAAGTGTCGGGAGATGGGGTGGCGGAAGAACTGTCGGCCTTGACGGTGACGGCCAGCTTCATGCCGTTGCTGCAGTGGCTGGTGACGCCACAGACGAAGTAATGAGTGCCGGCTGTTTTGAGAGGGATTGTTGTGGCGCCGCTGCTGTCGGAGTTTATAGCATTGCCCACGGCGCAGGAGCTGTAGTCGGTGGAGCTCACTTCGTCCACTGTGTGGCTACTTCCATAGTTGAACACTACATATATACACACATGATGTGCAAACATATATATAATTAGGACAAAATATATATGCACTTTTAAGTTTTTATTATACAAGAAAAATGCTAAAGTATAATTACCTAGCTAATGGAATTGCTTAAATTAGCAACTTTGTATCCAATTATAAATTAACACATGTAATTCTTCAAGCCCTTGTGCAATTACTTAAGAAATATTTAATGGTGGATATATATCCATTAAACAAAAAGTTTCTTTTTAACCATAAAAAATCACATTTAAACAAAAAGAAGAATATAGTAAATAGCATATTTACAAAACTAAATAACATATTTTAAAATTATTTGAAGTAAATAACAGTTTATCGCGTAATTATTTCATCTAGTAAACAATTTTTTTTTCCATGAAAATTTTCTTTTTACAACTTCTAATTTTTTTTTTCACATAAATAAAGGTTTTTTACCATATAAGTTATTTTTTATCAGTAGTAAATAACACATTCACAAGATAAATTATTATTTACTTCAAATAGTTTAAAAATATGTGATTTACTTAATTTAATTTTAAAAATTTACTATTTACTACCATTTCCATTGACAAATTTTGTTAAAGACCTAACATTTTAGAATAGCCTACCATACCAAAACACACTAGCATGAAATTCTAACATGGAATAGAAATGGACGATTCATAAAAAGATAATGGTATTGGTTATAACTAGCTTTGTTATGTACTGACCTAGACTATCTCCAACAACGAAAGTCTTGTCACTAGTCCAAGTGCTATAATCTACGCCCAATGACCAGCCTGCTGTATCTCCAACAGTGTAGACTGTGGCTGATGAGATTGGCATGACCACACAAAGTACTGCCATTAGACATAAAATTCTGAAGCCTGTGCTTGCCATTGTTATAAAGAGATGAATATCAATATAAAAAAGAAACTAATTATAATTAGAAGGATAAGAAGGAGAAGAATTAGTAAGAAGCTTTGTGTGGGCAAGTCAGAATAGAGTCTGGAATTGCTCCTTATATATTGGTGTAAAGGGATTGGAGTAAGTAGTGTTTGGTCCACTTAACCAATTTGTATTAATGCAAACTTTTGAAAGAAACTCATGCAATATTATTACAAAGGGGGATGACTTGGGTTGGACTTCATACCTAATGCCGGAAAAGAGTAGGTCCCATTTCCACTCGGTTTTGATTCCTAAACTAATTCACGAAATAATAAGTACTTGTCATAATGAGGTTAGTAGTTGTTTAAATAATGTATAATTAATTTAAGCCAAAAGTAAATAGATATAATGCTTGTTTTCATTCTTTAATATATGTGGTGTTATGTCAGTGGAGTCTTTTCATCTCTAAAATGGTAGTTTATGATTTAAGAAACAATCTAAAGTTTACACGATTACTTTAAAAGATTTCAAATTAAACATTGATTACTAGTTTTAATATGGTTTCTCGGTTGCTGTTAAATGTGGTTGTTGAGTAGGAATATTTGACGAATCCATTTGGACTTTCTCTAAGGTTTGATAGAAAAGAGAGTCTCAACGTCACGATAACTGATGTGAAACGTAATATACAATTTTTTTTTTTTTTTTTTTTTATGCTTTTGAGGAAAATGTGAAACATAAAATCAAACTGAAACGAAATTATAAATTGAAGTTTACTCAAATGTAGGATACAATACAAACAAGTTGGTGGAAAAACCAGCTGATCATCACATAATTAAGGAGGACCACTTTGAAAATACAATCGTTATTCAAGAAGTAGACCCAGTCCCCATCAAATCCCATGCTAAAAAAGGCATTTTTTTATTTATTAATTTTTTGCTGAACTAAAAAGAGCATTTTATTTACATCTAAAAGGAACCACCTCATCGAATTTCCAGACTATTCATCAACTAACATAAGTACAAGTAGCTTACTTTATAGTTAAGACAAAATTAAAATAAAAAAAAGAGAGAGGGAGAAAGAAAGAAAACTGTAATTTCTGATTCGTTTTAGAACTTATAGTAAAAGAAATCTGTTTTGTTCTATAGATTTTGAAGCTAAATATCCCATTTATGACTACTGTTTATGTGAAAAATGATTAAGTCTTAGAACTTACATATTTATGGGATTAACTGTACAGGTTTTTGACCAATTACCAACACAAAATCCTCATTTTCTTGAGAGTTTATTATGACATGCAAGAGCTGCTTGTGTTTAAAGTAAACATCCACCTTTCTTGGAGGGAATTAAGCTCTAAAAAGAGAACGTAGTAGAGGGAGAAAAAAATTACTTTATTTACACGAAAGAAGAAGAAGAATAAGAAGAAGAAGTACCACATTATTGAGTAATAAAAATAAAATAAAGAAAAAAAGATAGAAGAAGTTTGGGATTTAGGAACTCCAACATTTGATCAAAACGGTTCACCTAACCAGAATATAGAAAGTCATCATGGGAATTATTTGCTAGTGTGATATACAATCATTTCAATAAGATTATCCAAATAAAACATATACATGTAATGTGTGTGTCTATATATATATATCTCCGGGGTCCAACCACATGCCAGTGTTCTAAACTCATTCGTCTCTTTATGACATTGAGCGTGGGTTCGGTGATTAATTACTTAGTGGGAGTGGGAATTCGGTTAGGATCTTTAAGATCCATTAATGGGGCCGAATGCCCTTTTTGTGCTATTATCTGAGCTTTTACTATAATGCAAAAGTTTAGTGATCATTTCATAATTTTTTGAATGAGACATTAATTACTTTGTAGATACTGTACAAGTCGGATTCTACAATTAAATTTGTTCAGAGAACCAATGACTGTTTTTGAGTGTCGATTGCATTAGTGAGTCAATTAGAGTCAATAGAGTGCTAAAACGAGAATGTGAAATGTGAAAAAATAAATGAACACACAGAACTATAGTGGTTCACCTTTAATGTGAAGGCTACGTCCACTGGTTCACCTTTAATGTGAAGGCTACGTCCACTGTAGAGTTTCGGGATTTTATTATATTTTATTAAAAGTACAATTACAAAGAAGAAGAAGAAGAAGAAGAATGGGAGAGACAAGAGGAAGGGATATAAAGAGAGAATTTGGAGAGAGAGAGAAAGAGGGAGTAAATTCAAGATATGAGATCTGTATGTGATGAATTCCATGTCCAATTCGTGATCTTAATTCCCTATTTATAGAGATGATCTCTAGTTTCCCTTTTTCTTTGAGTTAATTCACTGTCAACTGGAGAATGATCAATTTCCTCTTTCTTCAGTTGATTTTCTCATTCCTTGGTTCCTGATTTGTTTCTTGGTAGCTTTTCTCTTCAGTATTGATCTGATTCGTGCCTTTAATGTCAGATCTGACTAGATTGGATTTTGTGACCTCTAAAAATCCTTCTTTCTTTTCTTGATTTATCTGTGGTGGTCCACAAAGGTCTCCTGTCATCGTTGACGATGTCTCTCGAGTCGATCTTGCGATCAGTTGATTTCAATTAACTTCTCCAAATGTTGTCCATGTATATGGCTTTGATCTTGGTGCTAATTTTATCCCCAATAGATACTGAGAGAGAGAGAGACTGCTCGCCTCAATTTTCTTCTTTTGATGAATAGAAGTGTAAAACTTGCTTGTGTTGCACAACTGCTATTTTTTGTCCATTAATACTCCGTTTGTTTCATAAGTTCGAATTACTATTTAAATCTTTTTGCTACAATGTTCTCTGTCACAAAATTTATATTTCTGTTCAAATTTATGAACCAAACGGGTATTAAATGATCCAAAGTAGACAATCCAAAAATTTTTCTAGAAAGACCAAATAAGAAAATATAAATAATACTATGTGGTCAATATCATTGCCTTCGGTCCCATATAAGAAATAGACAAAAGTAGGCGATCCAAAATTCTCAGTTCTCATACTTGGACGCAAACCGCATCATTTCAAACGAAAAGTAGTCCAAAAGATCTTAAGGAGGCATTATTACCACTTACCACGTACCTAATATTTGTGGATGAAATCTCAATGTCAAAATGCACTCTCATTCTTTCCTTAATGTTTACGCTTTCTGTAATTTTGGCACCAAGCGCTAATAATTAGATATATATGTCTTTTCATACCATCATATTTTGAATAATGGTAGCACCTAAAGTTCAATGAATCGAATAAAGACGCCTTCCTTCTTTTAGTAGAATTCGTATTCCTTCAGAAGAAAATAATTATTTTGCAAGCATTTTCCAATTTGAAATAACCAACTTGTTGAAATAGTACGAAGAATGTTGATTCAAGCTTCCTTTCTAATTGTATACAGGAAAAGGGTGGCTAACTACTAAAGTTGGGCTTGTAAAGGCGGAGAAGTAATCAGAGGTTGTTCATCTTTCGTTTTATCAACAGCCATATCCACCATTTGGATTTTGGCTTACGGTAATTAGAGGACAGAAGACAAGCAAAGGGTCTAAAGTTGTGTGTCATATAAATACTAATCTGGGTTTTAACTACTTGCAACTGACTAAATATCAGCATCAAAAGGATCTCTAAATTTTAAGAAATGGAGTCACAACTGATAACCCTTGTTTTCCTTTTTATTTTTCGCTAATGCATTTCTAATGTCCTATAAAAAATAGAGAGACATCATATATGATAGCAGTGATAAAACTATAAACCAAAAACTTTAAGAGTTGAAGTTTACAGCTCATCTAAAAATGGTTTATCTGTAAGAATAAGACCAACCAAGATTATAGCACATCAAGCAGGCGCAGCTTGTATTTGCTCTACCCCCACCTCTTTCCACGGCTCTGACAAAGAAAAAAATAAGAGTAAAAAAAGTAGAGGTTGTATAAGAATATTAAAGTTTTGCCTGTGCAATCTCAGCATATCAGTGTACAAGACAAATGAAGCACCGCTCAAGAATGTATGAAGTACAAAGTGCAAGTGTGCATACAGATCCCTGCAAGAGATGGAAAAATGAGGTTTCAAATGCCTTTTATTAGCAGAATATTTTTTCATAGAAATGTAAAGAAACAGGAATTATGATAGGTCCCCTTTGTGTTTTACTTATGCTCGGAAGAGGAGGAATGCGAGTGGAGGAAAGGTTGGGCGGAATGTGGCAGTGGATGATGACGGAAGTAAAAGTGCTGAGTGTGTTGCTGAGTTGGCAGGAGATGGGGGTGAGGAAGCAGATGACATCAGCAAGGCTACGCAGGCTGAAGAGGGGTGAAGGACGTTGAGGGGAGCAGAATTTGCGTGAGTGCATCAGGAGGAGGGACGGTTAGTTAGTTAGGAGTAGTATGGAATAAAACCGGAAGGGAAGCTGAGTGAGAGGGCATCAATCATTTCTCTGAGTTTTCTCTGTAAAGAGTTGAGCATTAGCTCTAGGGAGTGCAAGGGTCACTCAAATACCCCATTTCCTTATATTTCCATTTCTCTTAATAGAAAACTTAATTCAAAACTACTTGGATCGATCAAATTCCTTTGCTATAAGCTGTTTGTGTGACTGTTTTGTACCAGATCCTATCAAATTATATTAAAAAAAAAAAAACCTACAAATCTAACAGAAAAATGGAGAGGCAAAAAAACACCTAAAAAGAGAACAAGAAACCAAACGAGATGAAGTTCAAAGACCAATTTCCCTTTTCAATTCCCCAGTCTACCTACCCCACCAAGTAACATCGAACTACGAACTAAATATGGCAATGACAAAGATACAACGTGCTTTAGGAAAGAAGGTGAGAAAGGAAAGAGGGGAAGTAATTGGCATGGTTCGGTGGGTTTCAGAGCTTACTGAAATGGATGAGACGGAATTAACATTATCGGTGAAGATTCAGAAAAAAAAAAAAAAAAAAAAAAAGGGTCACAAACATAGGCCGTAATATGCGATCCATTGTCAACTAAGTGATCATAAACCGTACCTTCGGGAGGATTTTGTTGACTCGGTAAAAAAAAAAAAAAAAAGAGAGAGAGAACCTACTTAGGGTTATAAACGAATCTGCAAGAAGTAGTTTATTGGTGATATGGTTTCTACTAAGCATACTCAATGCAGTTACAGATTCTAACTTAAAAAAGCTCTATGATCTCACCATAGCAGCCTTTTAGTCTAATTACACCATTCAAGTGATTAAACTGGATCAACGTTGATAGAGGCACTACACTGAAATAAGCCAAGCCCCAAAAGAGTTATGCTTTAGGTAGTATAGTATATGGATTATTTCTTATCAGAAAAGGTCGCAAGATATAGTGGACGAGTAACAAATTTAATTAAGACATGTCACACCAATGTATAGCTATGTTAGTCATTTATCGATATAACTTCGTTTAAGGCAACAACTTGCCACCTAAATAATGAAGGAAAAAAAAAAACACTAAACATGAGGTGGAGAAAGTACCATAAGTCGTAGTAGAGAAAAATTCACTTCTAGTTTTGATCAGTGCTAGTGTTTAACTCTGTCGAAGTATCTTCAGTCTTTGCACTCTCACCAGTTGGTTGTTTGACAAATTGTCTACTGCGTGCCACTCGAATTGGTCTTCCCATAAAGATCTAAGAACAAAAGCTTTTCAGGGAATCTTCATTTCAAAAAAGTCTTATACATTCAGATGCTAAAAGAATCATTTCTTGAAAAAATGGAAATGCATTTTAATCACACCCTTGCTCATGTTCACAGACCACAAATAAGATAAATTAAGCACGAAGGCGATCAGAAAGCCAAACTCACCTTTCCTTGAACAGCAGAAAGAGCTGCCTCAGCTTCTTTCTTGGATTTGAATGCCACAAATCCATATCCCAAGGATCTTCTTGGATTCTCATGAAAAATAACCTCTGCAGAAACAACACTATGACCCTCTGAATTAAAGAACTCCCTGAGATCTTTAGCTCTTGCTTCAAACGACAAATTTGCCACAAACAAATTGAATGTCACTTCTGGCTTAGGTTGCATAGGAGTGGTAACTTTCTTCTTTCTTAATCTGGCATAATCAATCTTTATAACACGACCGTCCAATTCCTATATCGTTAAGAAAAGGTTACACTTTCACTAGACAAACTGACAAAGGAAATAGAAAAACAAACATTAAGTGCATAGTTTTGTGAGGTTCCAAATTCCAATCATAAAAATATTAAATTTCCCAGTTCAAAATTGCTTTCCTATCCTATTTTAGAGTGACCAAACCAGAAATATGCTTACATACGATTGCAGATTATTGAGAGCAGCAAGAGCCTCCTCAGGTGAACCCATTGTCACAAATGCCAATCCCCTGTTTCTGGTCTTATTAAACATTGAAAGCTTAACCACCACAAAACATACCAACACAAACCCATTTCAGAACCAATTCAGCAAAAACAAAATCAGAAAAAGAAAACCCACATCAGAAAAACCTCAACATAGAGAATGGAAAAAACCTCAACATCTTCGACAGTCCCGTACTTCTCGAAGAGAGCACGAATGTCTTCGGGGGTACAATTCCAAGGAACGTTCTGGGCATACAATCTGTTCTTCAGGACCTCCTCGGTTTCCGAGCCAGTTTCTCCGCTTTCGCTCGCCGGAGGAGACTCGAGAGCTTGCTCTTGAGCGGTGGAAGAGAAATGTGAAACCAGGGTTCCATCTCTTCTGGACTTAATGAGGCGTGAAGAAGGAGCGTTGTGGGTGTGAGAGAGAGGAAAGACGCAAGACAGAGAGCAAGAAACGGAGAGAGTGTTTTTGTGTGGATTTTGAAGAGAACAAAGAGGTGTGAAATGGGTTTGTTCTTCGCCTGGGAAATATGTCGTAGATGGAGAGAAGATAGAGCGAAGTAAAGCCATGAGCTTTGATGAATCCTTGAAGCTATAGGAGATGGAGTTTGTATGTGAGTTTTGAGAGTTTTGCTTTGGTTTTCTGACTCCGAGGTCTTTGGGAGGATGGTTTTTGGATAAGGGATATTTTTGGGCCCAAATGGAAATATCATATGCGACTTGTCGTTTTTGTTTGTGGGAAAATGATGACGTGACGTGGCTTTATTTGGCCTTTTGATGACCAAAAGGAGACGATTCATGTTCGGAAGTTGTCCCTTTGACCCTTAAAAAAAAGCCTTGGTCTTCCTTTTAAATCATTTAAGAAAGTTTGAGAAAATTACTAAATTTATGGATGACCTTAATTTTTACTTCTTATTTTTTATTAGTATATTTTTAACTAATATAATTATTTAATTAAAAAAATATCAATCAAGAATAAAAATAAAAATTTAAATAAGTATTTGTCTCTATTCTCCTCTTTTTATATTTTATTTTCCCAAGCGCATTTGCAACTTATACAAAATTCACTCTTCGCAACTTATACGAAATTCACTCTTCGCAGTGGTTCTACTTCCATCCTGAATCCTAAAAGAATAATAATAACAAAAATTACTTTTAGAGTCCTTTATGTTTGTGCATGGGAGACGCAAAGTTTTGCAAACCTATGAGTTTATCATTCGGTCAAAAAGACAATGTGACTTGATCTATGTTGAATAGATTCAGCTCCGTAATTTTGTTCAACAACTTATCATATTACCCATCACTCCTCTGGAAGTTGATGGAAGCAAAAATAATGGGAAAAAGAACAGGAGAAAAATCACCCTTTCATTTCTTATGATAGCTTCTTTATGCTCTAACATTCTTGCCAATACTTTATCCTCATTCGTTCTGGATTGAAATCTCTAATAAAAAAATATAGCTCCATGAGCAAAAGCTCCTGTCATGATGAATCCTGCAATGTATTGGTGATGAGTATATAAAGCAGCTTGAGTAGTAAAGTCTTGTGCTATGAATGCATAAGCAGGTAAAGAATACATGTGCTGAGCGACCAAGTAATAACTCCTAAAGAGGCTAGAGCAAGACCTAATTAAAAATGAATAGAATTATTGATTGTGTCACAAAGACCTCAATGTGATTTGATCTATATTGAATAGATTCAGCTCTGTAATTTTGTTCAACAACTTATCATATTACCCATCACACCTCGGGAAGTTGATGGAAACAAAAATAATGGGAAAAAGAACAGGAGAAAAATCACCCCTTCATTTCTTTGAATACCTACAAACAACAATGCTGTTGTTCCAATGTCAAAAGTACTAACCATCCCAAATACAAAATAAACTAGCAAATGCGAATGAGAAAAGAACTTGGCTGTCAAGGGATTTTCCCACTATTTCTTATGCATTCTAGAGTCAGGTGAATTACATCGCAAGGGTGATAAGGGTGGTCTTGGCATATCTGCTTCACTGAAATCAATCTTCTTCTCAATCAGGCTGCTCGTCTTTGAGCTAGATTTTCGCTTATTTGACTGCAAAGAGTTAAAAACGAAAGATTAGATCCTGCAAACAAGAGATTCATGCCAAAACAATACAAAAAGCTAGGAGCAAAAGGACATAAAAGACGTGACAGAAGCTGTCATCTCCTGTCCCACCTTGGCTGGTGCACTGCTCGCATGCTTTCCACTAGAACCATGCTGGTTCCTTTCTTTGTTGAACTTCATCAGTAATTTCTTGTTCTCCTCATCCAACATATTGTTCTCTTCAAACAACAACTTGACCTGCATATTTAAAACAAGGGTTCAAGCACTTGTACATAAGAAAAATTAAAGGAATCAGTGAAAGAAGCACTCGTCAAAAAATAAATAAATATATAAATAAATAAAAGAAGTTCCACTGCTCCTCACCTCCTCTTCTGCTCTGTAAAGATTAGTTCTCAGATGTTCCTTATCTTTCTCTAGGGCCTTAAACTCAGCAGCTAGTGATAGGACTTTTTGAGTTGATGGCTTCAAGCTACAAAATGGGAAATTTTCCATAGAACAGATCAACAGACATCACAGCTAATATATAAAAGCACAAAATCGTAGTGAAAATAATACAAGTAAAACTAATACATAACAGCAAATTATCCAGGTGAAAATTGTAAAAGTTACATTTGAATAAACTCACAAATTCCACATCTCTAGCAGCCTTAGACATGATTCATGACTGCTATTGGCCTCCAGAAACGCATGACCAGGCACAGCATCATCTCCACTAATCAATGTTGCTAAAACAGACTCTAGCAAACTATCTTGGGTAGTTACACCTTGAAGAGATGAATCAACCTTCAACATAATACAAAAAACACTCTCATTTGCAATGCAGACAAGTAAATCACTCCTAGAAGTCAAATATATTACAAGCAGAGAAAATAGGAGGAAATGCACTTTCATAACAAGCTTAAAATCAATTTTAACAACTATGGCTAAAAATCCAAACACTCTCATCATAAGCAACTAAAGAAATCCAGCCTCTTCCGTAAGGTAAACTAAATTTTCTCCAAAAGTTACTGCTAAAATGGCTCATCTACAACAGCATCCTATCTCTAAATACTAATGCAAAAGCAAATTGACAATAAATATCTCAAAGACGTGCAACATTGTTTTAATATATGAGCTTTGGTAACCTATTCTCATGTTTTCTGAGCAGTTAAACAGAATTTACATCACTAGCAAGCACATTTATGTGAACAACAGAGAGCATATTTTATCACGCTGATGTAATAAAATCTCATATGAAGGGGTAAAATCAAATCTAACAATAATAAAAATAATTCATCAATTTAAGAGTCTCACAACCTGATAGCCACACATCTCAATTCATTAGATCAAATTCAATGGGGCTCTCCAAGCCAGTTCAATACCCAAATATCATCCTAAGCATTGAGGTTAACAAACTAAAATTCTGACCCATCATCCTATTTTCATTTCCTTTTTTCCTATCAAAACTAGCAAAAGCAAGGCAAAAAGAATGGATTCAAGAGATTACCATGCAAGCCTCGCATTGACGCTTATAGAACTGTAATTCATCCGACAGCCCTCGAACCTCCTCCTCCAATTCTTGAACACGAAGCTCGGCCTCCTTGGCGCGTTGATCAGCCTCATTCCCGAAATCCATCAATGCTTCCCTATCGTTATCATACAACGAACACTCTTTTTCCAATTTGTTACACTGGTTCAAGAGATGAGCGCATTCAGATGCTAATTTCTGATTTTCCTCGACAAACTTCTTCAAAGCCAGCGCACTCATACTAGATTCCGCCTAAACAACCAATACAATAAACATAGGAGAAAATACAAACAAAAATCACACATAATTCTATATAAACATTAAAAGAAAAAGAAAAAAAAAGGGAAAATACATAAGCAACAAACCCTAGCGCGTTCGATGGCTTGATCTTTCTCCTTAAGCCGAGAGTGAAGAAGCAAGCACTGATCACGAAGCCGACTTTGCGCTTCTTCAGAGGCTTGAAGCTTCAGCTCAAGGGTGCTTCTCGAGACGGGAAGGCCAAGCGTGTGTTGAATCGATTCCTTGATGTAATCATCGATTTCTTGCGGAAGTTCCATTCTTTACTCTAGATTGATCCAAATCTGCAATCGGATGGAAACCCTAGAATTTCAATTGCAAGAACCTGAAATTCTTTCTTAGACCGCGTTTCAATATATCAGAACTTCGAATTTCCGAATGGGTTTGACCGAAAAAACCTTTTCTTTGAAGAAATTGAAACCCTAAAAAAGCACAGAGCTCTGGGATCTCCAGTTCTCGGGGAGTACAGAAGAAGATATGGGAAAAGGACGTCTGAAATGGAAATCAAGCGTTTAGTTTTGGGTTATCAAATATCTGTTTTGGCTCTTCACGAATAACGAATTTGGGGGATTTCTTATTTTGAAAAGAAGAATTTGAGGATTTCAAATTGAAAACCTTTGCTAGCCGTTAGAGCGCGCTTGTAAAGGCTCCAACGAGTCTCCCTCTTGTCCGACGTGGAAAAAGGAAAAAAAAAAATGAACTCCTGTGTTTTATCTTTTTCTTTTAATATATGTTTTCCTTTTTTAGAAGTTGTTCTTTTGCGATAAAACTCAAAAAAAGTTAAAACTCAAGTTATTGGTCTCGTTCACTTCGCTGATTCGAGTTTAGAATTCGAGTTGAGATGTGATTTTATGTGAGAGCTTTTTACTGTAGTAAAAAAGTTAGATGTGATTGTTTGTGAGAGCTTTTTACTGTAGAAAAACTCGAATTCTAAACTCGAATTAACGAAGTGAACGGGGCCTTATTTAAGTTCACCTTCTTTTAAATTTTAATTTTATTTAACTTTACTCAACTTTATTCAAGTTACAACTTCAACTCAAGTTATAACTCAAATTCAACTAAAAAACTACACTCAAGTCACACTCTAAAAGAACAGGCCCTTAGATTTTTTTAGAGATTTTTTCTACTGGAGTTTCTTTGATAACGTTTAGTTCATAAATTCAGAATCATAATTTAGAATCATTTTTTATTTACGTGTATTTTTTTAGTCTAAGACCTCCTTTACTTTGCGAATTTGAGTTAAGACGTGACAATTTTTTTAGAGTTTTTAACTGTAGCAAAAAAAAAGTTAAATAGTAAAATTTTTTGAGAGCTTTTAACTGTAGAAACTTAAAATTAAAAACTCAAATCAGTGAAATAAACGAGGCCTAAATCAATCTCTAATTTGATTAAAATCATCATATTACTTAGAATAGAAATTTTCTGATATAGGGTGCGATTATTTAGGGCTTGTTTAGTTATATTTTTGAGTTATGATGACTTGAGTGTAGATCTTGAGTTGAATTTGAGTTATAATTTGAGTTGAAGTTGTGACTTGAGTTTGTGTTTAGATGTGCACATTTGAGTTATGATTTGAATTGAAAATCTATTTGAGTTTGTGTTTGAGTGGGTCAAAACTTGAATTTGTATTTAAATAGTATTTTAATAAAAACTCAATAGTGATGAAAAATTTTAATAGGGTATATAGGTATGGTTTTATCCGTCTCTTCATTGTGAATGTATAAAAAAAATCATCGCAATCGGAATTAAAATAAAAAAAATTATGACGTTTTTAATAATAAAAAAATATTGTTTATTAACTTGAATTGAGTTTAAAAATATGTGTTAAAAGAGAAACTTGAATTTAGATTTTAATCTCAAATTTAAGTTAAAACTTGAATTAAAATTTAAGTTTAAACTCAAATTTTATAAATGAACATAAATTTAAATAAAATTGTAACTTGAATTTAAATTTTTTTTTAAGTTTTTTGGTCGTTAACAATTTGATTCATAAAGCATCAGAAGTGAAAAGTTTGCTATGGGCAACTCTTCACTTCCACTTAGTGGTGGAACTTCGGAAGGCAGGCAGGCCCATATGTCGGCCTGTCCAAGGTGGAAATTCGGGCTCGGGCTCGGGCAGCCCGAATTTTGAGACTACGCCGGAGCCCACCGCCGTCCGCTGGAGTTGTTTTTTGAATTTTTTCGGCCATGCCCGACTGCCCGACCCGCCCGAAGCCCGAACTACCCGAAAAACATTCAAAAATCCGACCGTTGTGCCTGACCCGAAAACCTAAATTTTGCCTGAAGCCCGAGTTGCCCGATTTGTCCGAATGCCCGAAAACCCGTCCAACGGCTACTTTTTTGCCCGTTGCCGCTCGAATACGCCTGAAACCCGCTCAAACCCGACCCGCCAAACCTAACTAGCCATTGCACATTGATTTTTTTTTTTGAAAAAAATCAATTTTTTAACCCAAAAATTTTCCTATAAATACCCCCATCCTCCACACATTTTTCTCACTCAAACTCTCTCAATCCCTCTCAATTTCTCTCAATCTCTCTCAACTTCTCTCAATCTCTCTCGATCTTTCAAATCTCTTTCAAAAATTTTCCAAAAACCATCACATTATCCTAAAGCTTTCTCTCTCTCAAATCGCTCTTATTTTTTTATAATGGATCATTTTGGTTATAGTGGTATTCCCGTTGATGCCCAACACAACATGGAAGCAGGGTAATTTCCCACTAATGAATTTGTTACACAGAAATCTACTAATCTGAGCCCTGGTGGACGTAATGGAGGTCGTGGTCGCAATGGTGGTGGGCGTGGAGAAGCAGCGAGTGCCAGTGCGACTGCGTCTGCAAGTGTTGCAACCTCTAGGAGGAAATGCAAGCGCACCTCGACAGTTTGGGATCACTTCGACATAATTGATGAGATCGACAATAAAGGTAACACTAAACATATATCTCAGTGTAAATATTGTTTATCTAAATTACAATGTGACACTATTCACGGCACCACACACTTGAGAAGACACTCCGAAAAGTGTCTTCAAAAGCTTAGCCAATCCGGCGGATCCGAACTCTGCCAAACACAATTATCTTTTGATCGTGCAACCGGTGGTCTAACCACTTTGAAATACGATTCGTAAGTAGATCGTATGGAAGTTGCACAAATGATAGCTACTTTAGATCAACCACTTAGTTTTGTAGAGCATCCTAATTTGCAACGATATATTAAGGTTGTACATAATCCTAATGCACAATTCACTTCAAAAACTACTCTTAGGAAAGATTTATTAATTAAAATTATTTAAAAAAGAAAAAGAAGCATTAATAAACCTTTTACACTCGACTAGCGGGTGCGTTGCGTTAATAGCAGATATTTGGTCTGTCGTTGCCAACAAAGATTATTTAGCTGTAACCGGATATTACTTTAAAGGATTTGATTTAGATAAAAGAATATTATGTTTTAAATGTGTTCTAGGATCACATTGCGCGGATTTAATATATAATACAATTTTAAATGTAATTGATGAATTTAGACTAAAAGATTAGGGCTGGCAATCCGGGTATCGACACGACGATACGACTCGAAACCCGCACGAAATTAGCGGGTTTGGGTTTATCATAAATAGGTCCGGGTCAAAATCAGGTCGAACCCGTGAAACATGATTAAATAACGGGTCATTTTCAAGTTGACCCGTCAACCCGTAATTGACCCGCAATAACCCGTATATTAAACGTGTCATATTTGGGTAACACGATAATATAACCCGTTTATTACCTATTTATTACCTAGGTTAAAAATGTTTCAATATTATTATATTAATATATTATTCAACTTTTAACCCTAATTTGTTTGTTTTCCCTAACCCCAGCCGCCCACATTTCAAAATGAAACCCAGCAGCCAGCAGCCAAACTTTCTTCTCTTCTCCATTCTCTCTCAACTCTCCTCTCCGCCGCTTCTCAATCCACCGGACCACCGCCTGACCTCAGTCCACCGGACCACCGCCTCACGCCAGTTTCTTCTTCTTCCTCTTCTTCTTCTTTCCTCTCCACTCACCTTCTTTCCTCTCCACTCGCCACCGTTCCTCTCCACTCGGGACCGTTCCTCTCCACCGTTCCTCTCCACTCGCCACCGTTCCTCTCCACTCGACGCCTATTTCTCCGCTGCAAGCAAACAGGTATTTCGGATTTCTTCCCTTTGGATTTCTCATTTCAATTTACTTTTTTTTCCCATAACTTTTCTTTTCCGTTTGATGATCTGTGATTTGCTTTTCATTGATATATGGGAACGAGCTTTTTTCTAACATAGTGTAATGTGATGAACAACATTATTTGATTCGAAAATGCTAGAACTCTATTTGTTTGAAGGATTTTACAGAGGACGCAAGTTATAATGTTATATCATAAGCATATCTAAAAAAAAAAAAAAGATTGACATTTTAATGAAATGTGATGGAGATTTGAAGATTTAAAATCTTATTCTATTGGTAAGGAATTTTTTTTCGATATCCAAACTAATGGGACAACATTAAGGTAGAAACTTAATGGGACAGTTAAAACAGAAACGTGTTTTGGATGACTATTTGCCTAGCTAATTAAGGGAACTAGCCGACTATTGTTGTCTCAGTGTGTGAAATGTAAATCAGAAGGAACAATTGTTTTCACATATTCATTTGTTCCTTTCCTTTTTTTCTTTAGTGCTTGAGTTGGGTGAGCTAATAACCTTGGAGTTGGGTGAGCTAATTAAAAGAAAAATGAATAATTGGTCAAAACTACCTAGAAGACATGGCTGCTTTTCCAATAAGCTTGCCTTATAATAGGATGATCAATAGAAAAATAATACGAAATCTTAGACAAACTCGAAATAAAATAGATAGCCTTGTAATTGTACAAGATCTATATGCTAGAGATAAGCTTTGGTCAGCAATGTTATTAATAACTATCTTCAATAATAACGCAACTTTAGAAGTAAAAATTAAAAGTGTAAATGAAACTTTTTGAAAAAGAAAGAAAGAAAAAGCATGTGGAGAACAAGTTAAGGCCAGCCCTTGATTTAAAGCCGTTGGTTCTCATTTTCTCAACGAAAATGAAAGTGCAATTGAAGCAGCCCTTTTGGGTTAAGTAGTCACACTACACATGTAGGGGAATAGGATACACTGTCTAGATCAATAACACATGACCTCGTTAAGTCGTTTGATGTCACATTTTGATTTTGAGCTAATAACCTTGGATTTTTAATTTGAATATTTTGTAAATCTTGGAGTTGATTATAATGCAAATGCCTTTGAAGTTCCCAATCTTTCTTCAAACCATGCTTTAAATCTTTGTGCAGACTATGACCATTAATGTTGCTTTGTGCAGATTAATTTAACACAATGGAAATTGATCTTGAGTCCATTGAGTCTCAAAGTGTGGATGTTGAGGTTGAAGAGATTGATGGGTCGAGTTTTCATACCGAAATTCAAGGCACTGATCTCCAGAAAAGAAAAAGGAAGCTGACCTCAAAAGTTTGGAGTCACTTTGTACATCTTCCTTTGGGTCCGGACAAGAAATTGAAGGCCAAGTGCAAACATTGTAGCTATGTGTACCTCGCAGACAGTAAGTAC